ACAACTCCCAGCAGGAATGCTCAGTCATCTGTCTTTAAGTTGTCCTTCTGCCTTTTCTTTTAAAAACATATATTTTATTGATTTTTTTTTTTTTTTTTTTTTTTTTTTTTTACAGAGAGGAAGGGAGAGGGATAGAGAGTTAGAAACAAATAAGAGAGAAACATTGATCAGCTGCCTCCTGCACACCCCCTACTGGGGATATGCTTGCAATCAAGGTACATGCCCTTCATAGGAATTGAACCTGGGACCTTTCAGTCCACAGGCCGATTCTCTATCCACAGAGCCAAACTAGTTAGGGCTCCTTTGCCTTTTCCATCCTCCCCTGCCCACACTTGTCCTGGGCCTTTCACCCATCCCCTGTTTCCACCAACATCTTACTTTTGTCCTCCTCCTGAGGTAGTCTAAGGAGCATACACTCAAGTGCCTTCTTTTCTAATTCTCCCACCCCTAACCCCACTCCATCAACAAGGCCCACCTCCTCTAGGGAGTCTTCCTGGGTATCTCCTCTAGTTTCTCCCCTTAAACCCACCCCTGCAACCACAGGTGCCCAGAAAGAGTGCATTTGCTTCCTATGACTCATAACAGTAGCAAAATTACAGTTATGAAGTAGCAACGAAAATAATGTTATGGTTGGGGGTCACCACAACATGAGGAACTGTATTAAAAGCTCTCCTAAGACACTCATTTCTATCTCCTTAACTAAGGGAGCTTTCTAGGCTCTCTCTGCATTCTCTCTCCCTGCACTGCAACCTGGAATTTGTTCTTAAGTCAGTAAGCTAGGGTGATTGAAGGGTTCACCCCATTTGTTTCCCGTTTCTCAGGAACCACTGCCCTTTGTTGCCTGGCATCTAGTGTATTGTAAATCATTGTTTTGTATCCTTTGCATGTTTAAATGGTTGTTTAGGGGCTAGGTGTTGTTTTAGGTAGAAGGGGTAAGCCAACCCCCATTATTCCATCTTGGCCTGAAGTGAAGTCGAATAGCTTCAATGAGGGTCTTTATTAGCATGTACTGTATTTTACATACTTGGCTAATTAAGTTCCTTTAAAATTTGAAGTTGCATTTATAAAATTAACACATTAAAATTTCTATTTAAAGACTTCATTTCATATTTTTTAAGACAGAAGAATATTTTTACTGCGATATAATTTCACATGCAATAAAATTCACCAGTGATTTTTGACATAGTCACAAGGTTGTGCAACAATCACCACTAATTCCCGAACATTTGCATCACCACAAAAAGAAACCCCATGCCTGTCAGCCATCGTTCCCCATTCTTCTAGCCATCACACTGCATTCTTCTCCTCCCCAAGGTCCAGTCAGTGATTAATCTACTTTTTGTCTCAACATATTTGCCTATTCTGGATATTTTATTTAAATGAAATAATACAATATGTGGCCTTTTGTGTCTGGCTTCTTTTTTAATTAGATGTATTGGGGTGACATTGGTCAACATGATCATATAGGTTTCAAGTATGGGTTTCTATATATATTGGACCATGTGTTCACCACTCTAAGTCAAATCTTCCTCTGTCACCATATATGAGGACTCCCTTCTCCCTCCACCTCCTTCCCTCTGGCGATCATCACACTGCTGTTTGTGTTCATGAGTTTCAGTTTTACATCCCACATATGAATGAAATCATATGTCTTCCTGGGTATCTCCTCTAGTTTTTCCCCTTAAACCCACCCCTGCAACCACAGGTGCCCAGAAAGAGTGCATTTGCTTCCTACGATTTTTTCTGATTTATTTATTTTTATTTAAAAAATATACTTTATTGATTTTTTACAGAGAGGAAGAGAGAGGGATAGAGAGTTAGAAACATCGATGAGAGAGAATCATTGATCAGCTGCCTCCTGCACATCCCCTACTGGGGATGTGCCCGCAACCAAGGTACATGCCCTTGACTGGAATCGAACCTGGGACCCTTCAGTCCAAAGGCCGACATTCTATCCACTAAGCCAAACCGGTTTCAGCCTGATTGATTTATTTCACTTAGCATAATGTTCTTAAGGTCCATCCATGTTGTTGCAAATGGCACTATTTCATCCTTTCTTATGGCTGAGTAGTATTCCATATGTACCCCATCTTCTTATCCAGTCCTCCATCGCAGGACACTTTGGTTGTTTCCATGTCTTGGCCACTGTGAATAATGCTACAATGAACATAGCAGTGCATATATCTTGGTGAATACATGATTTTGAGATTTGAGGGCATATACCCAGGAGAGGAATTGCTGACTCTAGTCTCAATTTTTTGGGGAATCGGCAGACTGCTTTCCATAGTGATTGTACCAGTATACATTCCCACCAGCAGTGCATGAGGGTTCCCCTTTTCCACAACCTCTCCAACCCTTGTTACTGCTTATCTTGTTAATAATGGCCACTCTAATAGGTATGAGGTGTTATCTCATTGTAGTTTTGATTTGCATTTCCATAATGGCCAGTGAGATTGAACATCTTTCCATATATCTATTGCCTATTTGTATGTCTTCTTGGTAGAAGTGAATTTTCAGGTCCTTTTTTTGATTAGGTTGTTTGCCCACTTTTTTGATTAGGTTGTTTGTCTGCTTGGTGTTGAGTTTTATGAGTTCTTTATATATTTTGAAAATTAAAACTTGGTTAGAGCTACTGTTTCCAAATATCACCTTCCATATGGTTGGCTTCCTCTTTATTTTTTTGTCAGTTTCTTTTGCTGTGCAGAAGGTTTTTAGTTTGATATAGTCCCATTCATTTATGTTTGCTTTTACTTCCCCTGCCTTTGGGGGTCAAGTTCATAAAATGTTCTTTATGACCAAGGTCCATAAGTTTGGTACCTATATTTTCTTCTATGTAACTTAATGTTTTGGGTCTTATACTTAGGTCTTTGATCCATTTTATTTTATTTTATTATTATTTTTTAAAAAATATATATTTTATTGATTTTGTACAGAGAGGAAGAAAGAGAGATAGAGAGTTAGAAACATCGATGAGAGAGAGTCATCGATCAGCTGCCTCTTGCACACCCCCTACTGGGGATATGCCCGCAACCAAGGTACATGCCCTTGACCGGAATCAAACCCGGGTCCCTTCAGTCCCCAAGCCAACGCTCTATCCATTGAGCCAAACCGGTTTCGGCTCTTTGATCCATTTTAAATTAATTTTTGTACACGGTACAAACCCAGTTTCATTCATTTGCTTAAATTTATATATTTTTAAACTTCCCCAAAACTTAAGTAATTTTACATACCTAATAAATAAATTTATATGGTGAATCTTAAGTTCTTTTAAATGTTCAAATACTATTTACAACCCTAGCAAGATTTTAATATAAGATGACAGGTCTAAATCAATAACACAAATATATATTTTAAATTGAAACTACAAGGTTGGCATTTATTCCAATAGGCCAACTTCTTTTAAACAGTACAAATATATAAAATCCCTAATATGAATAGATTATTTAATACAAAAATATTTATACTAAAAGTTTAAATTTCTTAAGGATGGTGAGAGTAATTGTGTCTGTTTCAGCTCTTTGCTGTATTATGACATTTTTGTATCTTCTGTAACAAATATGTCCCAAATATAATGGCTTGACCAAAATAGAAAGTGTTTTTATGCTCATGTAACAACACAAGGTAGATGTTCCTGGTTAGCAGATAGCTTTCCTTCATGTGCTGATTCAGGGATCTATGTTTCTTATTCCTGAGACTTCACTATTCCTTTGGGCCTCCTCACCTTTGGCCTCCAACAGGCAGAGCAAATGGGACCATGATGGAAGTTTTATGGGCCAGGCCTAGAACTGGCACCAGTCAGTTATGCTTACACTCCATTGAGAAGCACTTCGTCACAAGTAAACACTTATTTCTCTGAAGTCTGACTCCTGAATTGAACAGGAGTTTCCTGTCCTATACTTGCAACATGCGACATTGCCCAAACTCCACAAAGGCCTGTGAAGCCTCATCCCCAAATTCCTTGTTTTAATTGTGTGTGTACTAGGTCATGATGCTTGACTTCTAGACTGTGAAACAAGCAAGGCACTAACCCACCTAGGCCCTTTCCAAAAGATGGTGAGAGCACTCAAAATCTTTGAAAGAATGAAGGATCCCCAGACAGGGAAGAAGTATTATAACTCTGGGACACTAACTTCCCTTTCTCTGAGAATTCAGTGAGGGCAGGGCTGTTTAGAACAGAGGACAGTATATGCCTCAGAAGGACCTCCAGGACCACAAATGCTAGCAGAGCAATAGAGCAAGTGAAGCAATGCAGCCCTCGAGGCACAGCAAAGTGTGCCTCATCAACCAAAAATATCGGAACAACACTGAGCATGCTGGGAAAGAGAAATATTTTACAGCCCCTCACTGCTCAGTTTCAGAGGCCTTACAGAAAACTCTCCAAGATTTGAGGGAATCAGCTGTGGTCTGTGGAAGAGAGTTCATGATCAACGAGACTCAAAACAGCTTAAAAGAGAGGGTAAAAAACCCAAATTGGTCCACAACTATGTCCAGTTCATTGCAGACAATAAATTTTGATATCTGAATTTTCATGAAAAATATCTTTTACAGGCAAGACCAGAAATGCTACTTCATCTTCAACAATTCCGGCTGCCAATTCTGGCGTCCAAAGTTCTTCTGCTACAATTTCAACATCTACTAGCAAATCTTCTACAATGTCTGGTAACACGAGTAGACCTGTAACATCTACTGCAGAGACTACTGCATCATCAACAAAGCCTTCTGGTGGCACCACGCCTCTGAAAGCCTCTACAGAGGATGATGCATCTTTACTAAATTCTACTGACAGTGCCATTTCAATGCCTACACCTGAAGAGACTTCTACATTTCCTACAAATCCTACTGACACCCATGACACCAGCACCCAGATGACAATCACAACCGAAACTGAGGTATCTTCAGCAAATCCTGCTTACAATGACACTCCTGGGACAACACCTAATGAGTATGGTTCATCTTCAACAACTCTGGCCAGCAGCATTTCTCCTGATACAACATCTACAAAAAATAGCACAACTTCAACAATGTCTAGTGACACCAGCAGCCCTGTAACGTCTACTGCAGAGGCGAGTGCACCACCAACAACACCTTCTGGTGGCACCTCTCCTCTGACAGACTCCACAGATTCCACTGTGTCCTCAACATCTTCTACAGACAGTGCCACCACGGAGACAGTGTCTACAGAGGCTGGTGCATCTTCAGCAACTTCTACTGACAGTGCCACTCCCGGGACAAATCCTACCGAGGCTTCTGTATCCACTACAACTCCTAGTTCCAGCACCACCCAGATGACAAGCACAGCAGAAACTGTGGAACCTTCAACAACTCCTACTGACAGCATCACACCTGGGACAAGACCCACAGAGGCTGGTTCATCTTCAACAATTCTGGCCAGCAGCATCTCCCCTGATACAACTTCAACAGAAGATAGCACATCTTCAACAATGTCTAGTGACAACAGCAGCCCTGTAACATCTACTGCAGAGGCTAGTAAACCACCAACAACACCTTCTGGTGGCACATCTCCTCTGACAGACTCCACAGATTCCACTGTGTCCTCAACATCTTCTACAGACAGTGCCACCACGGAGACAGTGTCTACGGAGGCTGGTGCATCTTCAGCAACTTCTACTGACAGTGCCACTCCCGTGACAACTCCTACAGAGGCTTCCGCATCCACTACAACTCCTAGTGCCAGCACCACCAAGATGGCAAGCACAACTCCTACTGACAGCATCACTCCTGGGACAACACCCACAGAGGCTGGTTCATCTTCAACAACTCTGGCCAGCAGCATCTCCCCTGATACAACTTCAACAGAAGGTAGCACATCTTCAACAATGTCTACTGACACCAGTAGCTCTGTAACGTCTACTGCAGAGGCTAGTGCACCACCAACAACGCCTTCTGGTGGCACCACTCCTATGACAGCCTCCACAGACTCCACTATCTCCTCAACATTTTCTACAGACAGTGCCACCACGGAGACAGTGTCTACGGAGGCTGCTGCATCTTCAGCAACTTCTACTGACAGTGCCACTCCCGTGACAACTCCTACTGAGGCTTCAGCATCCACTACAACTCCTAGTGACAGCACCACCCAGATGACAAGCACAACAGAAACTGTGGGACCTTCAGCAACTTCTACTGACAGCGTCACTCCTGGTTCAACACCCACAGAGGGTGGTTCATCTACACCAATTCTGGCTAGCAGCATCTCTCCTGATACAACTTCAACAGAAGGTAGCACATCTTCAACAGTGTCTAGTGACACCAGCAGCCCTGTAACGTCTACTGCAGGGGCGAGTGCACCACCAACAACACCTTCTGCTGGCACCTCTCCTCTGACAGACTCCACAGACTCCACTATCTCCTCAACATCTTCTACAGACAGTGCCACCACGGAGACAGTGTCTACAGAGGCTGGTGCATCTTCAGCAACTTCTACTGACAGTGCCACTCCCGGGACAAATCCTACCGAGGCTTCTGCATCCACTACAACTCCTAGTGCCAGCACCACCAAGATGGCAAGCACAACTCCTACTGACAGCATCACTCCTGGGACAACACCCACAGAGGCTGGTTCATCTTCACCAACTCTGGCCAGCAGCATCTCCCCTGATACAACTTCAACAGAAGGTAGCACATCTTCAACAATGTCTACTGACACCAGTAGCTCTGTAACGTCTACTGCAGAGGCTAGTGCACCACCAACAACGCCTTCTGGTGGCACCACTCCTATGACAGCCTCCACAGACTCCACTATCTCCTCAACATTTTCTACAGACAGTGCCACCACGGAGACAGTGTCTACGGAGGCTGCTGCATCTTCAGCAACTTCTACTGACAGTGCCACTCCCGTGACAACTCCTACTGAGGCTTCAGCATCCACTACAACTCCTAGTGCCAGCACCACCCAGATGACAAGCACAACAGAAACTGTGGGACCTTCAGCAACTTCTACTGACAGAGTCACTCCTGGTTCAACACCCACAGAGGGTGGTTCATCTACACCAATTCTGGCTAGCAGCATCTCTCCTGATACAACTTCAACAGAAGGTAGCACATCTTCAACAGTGTCTAGTGACACCAGCAGCCCTGTAACGTCTACTGCAGGGTCGAGTGCACCACCAACAACACCTTCTGCTGGCACCTCTCCTCTGACAGACTCCACAGACTCCACTATCTCCTCAACATCTTCTACAGACAGTGCCACCACGGAGACAGTGTCTACAGAGGCTGGTGCATCTTCAGCAACTTCTACTGACAGTGCCACTCCCGTTACAACTCCTACAGAGGCTTCCGCATCCACTACAACTCCTAGTGCCAGCATCACCCAGATGACAAGCACAACTCCTACTGACAGCATCACTCCTGGGACAACACCCACAGAGGTTGGTTCATCTTCAACAACTCTGGCCAGCAGCATCTCCCCTGATACAACTTCAACAGAAGGTAGCACATCTTCAACAGTGTCTAGTGACACCAGCAGCCCTGTAACGTCTACTGCAGAGGCTAGTGCACCACCATCAACACCTTCTGGTGGCACCTCTCCTCTGACAGACTCCACAGATTCCACTGTGTCCTCAACATCTTCTACAGACAGTGCCACCACGGAGACAGTGTCTACAGAGGCTGGTGCATCTTCAGCAACTTCTACTGACAGTGCCACTCCCGTTACAACTCCTACAGAGGCTTCCGCATCCACTACAACTCCTAGTGCCAGCACCACCCAGATGACAAGCACAACAGAAACTGTGGGACCTTCAGCAACTCCTACTGACAGCGTCACTCCTGGGACAACACCCACAGAGGCTGGTTCATCTTCACCAACTCTAGCCAGCAGCATCTCCCCTGATACAACTTCAACAGAAGGTAGCACATCTTCAACAGTGTCTAGTGACACCAGCAGCCCTGTAACGTCTACTGCAGAGGCGAGTGCACCACCAACAAGACCTTCTGGTGGCACCTCTCCTCTGACAGACTCCACAGATTCCACTGTGTCCTCAACATCTTCTACAGACAGTGCCACCACGGAGACAGTGTCTACAGAGGCTGGTGCATCTTCAGCAACTTCTACTGACAGTGCCACTCCCGGGACAAATCCTACCGAGGCTTCTGCATCCACTACAACTCCTAGTGCCAGCACCACCCAGATGACAAGCACAACTCCTACTGACAGCATCACTCCTGGGACAACACCCACAGAGGCTGGTTCATCTTCACCAACTCTGGCCAGCAGCATCTCCCCTGATACAACTTCAACAGAAGGTAGCACATCTTCAACAGTGTCTAGTGACACCAGCAGCCCTGTAACATCTACTGCAGAGGCGAGTGCACCACCAACAACACATTCTGGTGGCACCTCTCCTCTGACAGACTCCACAGATTCCACTGTGTCCTCAACATCTTCTACAGACAGTGCCACCACGGAGACAGTGTCTACGGAGGCTGGTGCATCTTCAGCAACTTCTACTGACAGTGCCACTCCCGTGACAACTCCTACAGAGGCTTCCACATCCACTACAACTCCTAGTGCCAGCACCACCCAGATGACAAGCACAACAGAAACTGTGGGACCTACAGCAACTCCTACTGACGGCGTCACTCCTGGGACAACACCCACAGAGGCTGGTTCATCTTCACCAACTCTGGCCAGCAGCATCTCCCCTGATACAACTTCAACAGAAGGTAGCACATCTTCAACAGTATCTAGTGACACCAGCAGCCCTGTAACGTCTACTGCAGAGGCTAGTGCACCACCAACAACACCTTCTGGTGGCACCTCTCCTCTGACAGACTCCACAGATTCCACTGTGTCCTCAACATCTTCTACAGACAGTGCCACCACGGAGACAGTGTCTACAGAGGCTGGTGCATCTTCAGCAACTTCTACTGACAGTGCCACTCCCGGGACAAATCCTACCGAGGCTTCTGCATCCACTACAACTCCTAGTGCCAGCACCACCCAGATGACAAGCACAACAGAAACTGTGGGACCTTCAGCAACTCCTACTGACAGCGTCACTCCTGGGACAACACCCACAGAGGCTGGTTCATCTTTAACAACTCTGGCCAGCAGCATCTTCCCTGATACAACTTCAACAGAAGGTAGCACATCTTCAACAGTGTCTAGTGACACCAGCAGCCCTGTAACGTCTACTGCAGAGGCGAGTGCACCACCAACAAGACCTTCTGGTGGCACCTCTCCTCTGACAGACTCCACAGATTCCACTGTGTCCTCAACATCTTCTACAGACAGTGCCACCACGGAGACAGTGTCTACAGAGGCTGGTGCATCTTCAGCAACTTCTACTGACAGTGCCACTCCCGTGACAACTCCTACAGAGGCTTCCGCATCCACTACAACTCCTAGTGCCAACACCACCCAGATGACAAGCACAACTCCTACTGACAGCATCACTCCTGGGACAACACCCACAGAGGCTGGTTCATCTTCACCAACTCTAGCCAGCAGCATCTCCCCTGATACAACTTCAACAGAAGGTAGCACATCTTCAACAGTGTCTAGTGACACCAGCAGCCCTGTAACGTCTACTGCAGAGGCGAGTGCACCACCAACAACACATTCTGGTGGCACCTCTCCTCTGACAGACTCCACAGATTCCACTGTGTCCTCAACATCTTCTACAGACAGTGCCACCACGGAGACAGTGTCTACGGAGGCTGGTGCATCTTCAGCAACTTCTACTGACAGTGCCACTCCCGTGACAACTCCTACAGAGGCTTCCGCATCCACTACAACTCCTAGTGCCAGCACCACCCAGATGACAAGCACAGCTCCTACTGACAGCATCACTCCTGGGACAACACCCACAGAGGCTGGTTCATCTTCAACAACTCTGGCAAGCAGCATCTCCCCTGATACAACTTCAACAGAAGGTAGCACATCTTCAACAGTGTCTAGTGACACCAGCAGCCCTGTAACATCTACTGCAGAGGCGAGTGCACCACCAACAACACATTCTGGTGGCACCTCTCCTCTGACAGATTCCACAGATTCCACTGTGTCCTCAACATCTTCTACAGACAGTGCCACCACGGAGACAGTGTCTACGGAGGCTGGTGCATCTTCAGCAACTTCTACTGACAGTGCCACTCCCGTGACAACTCCTACAGAGGCTTCCACATCCACTACAACTCCTAGTGCCAGCACCACCCAGATGACAAGCACAACAGAAACTGTGGGACCTTCAGCAACTCCTACTGACAGCGTCACTCCTGGGACAACACCCACAGAGGCTGGTTCATCTTCACCAACTCTGTCCAGCAGCATCTCCCCTGATACAACTTCAACAGAAGGTAGCACATCTTCAACAGTGTCTAGTGACACCAGCAGCCCTGTAACGTCTACTGCAGAGGCGAGTGCACCACCAACAACACATTCTGGTGGCACCTCTCCTCTGACAGACTCCACAGATTCCACTGTGTCCTCAACATCTTCTACAGACAGTGCCACCACGGAGACAGTGTCTACGGAGGCTGGTGCATCTTCAGCAACTTCTACTGACAGTGCCACTCCCGTGACAACTCCTACAGAGGCTTCCGCATCCACTACAACTCCTAGTGCCAGCACCACCCAGATGACAAGCACAACAGAAACTGTGGGACCTTCAGCAACTCCTACTGACAGCGTCACTCCTGGGACAACACCCACAGAGGCTGGTTCATCTTCACCAACTCTGGCCAGCAGCATCTCCCCTGATACAACTTCAACAGAAGGTAGCACATCTTCAACAGTGTCTAGTGACACCAGCAGCCCTGTAACGTCTACTGCAGAGGCTAGTGCACCACCAACAACACCTTCTGGTGGCACCTCTCCTCTGACAGACTCCACAGATTCCACTGTGTCCTCAACATCTTCTACAGACAGTGCCACCACGGAGACAGTGTCTACAGAGGCTGGTGCATCTTCAGCAACTTCTACTGACAGTGCCACTCCCGGGACAAATCCTACCGAGGCTTCTGCATCCACTACAACTCCTAGTGCCAGCACCACCCAGATGACAAGCACAACTCCTACTGACAGCATCACTCCTGGGACAACACCCACAGAGGCTGGTTCATCTTCACCAACTCTGGCCAGCAGCATCTCCCCTGATACAACTTCAACAGAAGGTAGCACATCTTCAACAGTGTCTAGTGACACCAGCAGCCCTGTAACGTCTACTGCAGAGGCTAGTGCACCACCATCAACACCTTCTGGTGGCACCTCTCCTCTGACAGACTCCACAGATTCCACTGTGTCCTCAACATCTTCTACAGACAGTGCCACCACGGAGACAGTGTCTACAGAGGCTGGTGCATCTTCAGCAACTTCTACTGACAGTGCCACTCCCGTGACAACTCCTACAGAGGCTTCCGCATCCACTACAACTCCTAGTGCCAGCACCACCCAGATGACAAGCACAACAGAAACTGTGGGACCTTCAGCAACTCCTACTGACAGCGTCACTCCTGGGACAACACCCACAGAGGCTGGTTCATCTTTAACAACTCTGGCCAGCAGCATCTTCCCTGATACAACTTCAACAGAAGGTAGCACATCTTCAACAGTGTCTAGTGACACCAGCAGCCCTGTAACGTCTACTGCAGAGGCGAGTGCACCACCAACAAGACCTTCTGGTGGCACCTCTCCTCTGACAGACTCCACAGATTCCACTGTGTCCTCAACATCTTCTACAGACAGTGCCACCACGGAGACAGTGTCTACAGAGGGTGGTGCATCTTCAGCAACTTCTACTGACAGTGCCACTCCCGTGACAACTCCTACAGAGGCTTCCGCATCCACTACAACTCCTAGTGCCAGCACCACCCAGATGACAAGCACAACTCCTACTGACAGCATCACTCCTGGGACAACACCCACAGAGGCTGGTTTATCTTCAACAACTCTGGCCAGCAGCATCTCCCCTGATACAACTTCAACAGAAGGTAGCACATCTTCAACAGTGTCTAGTGACACCAGCAGCCCTGTAACGTCTACTGCAGAGGCGAGTGCACCACCAACAACACATTCTGGTGGCACCTCTCCTCTGACAGACTCCACAGATTCCACTGTGTCCTCAACATCTTCTACAGACAGTGCCACCACGGAGACAGTGTCTACGGAGGCTGGTGCATCTTCAGCAACTTCTACTGACAGTGCCACTCCCGTGACAACTCCTACAGAGGCTTCCGCATCCACTACAACTCCTAGTGCCAGCACCACCCAGATGACAAGCACAACTCCTACTGACAGCATCACTCCTGGGACAACACCCACAGAGGCTGGTTCATCTTCAACAACTCTGGCAAGCAGCATCTCCCCTGATACAACTTCAACAGAAGGTAGCACATCTTCAACAGTGTCTAGTGACACCAGCAGCCCTGTAACATCTACTGCAGAGGCGAGTGCACCACCAACAACACATTCTGGTGGCACCTCTCCTCTGACAGACTCCACAGATTCCACTGTGTCCTCAACATCTTCTACAGACAGTGCCACCACGGAGACAGTATCTACGGAGGCTGGTGCATCTTCAGCAACTTCTACTGACAGTGCCACTCCCGTGACAACTCCTACAGAGGCTTCCGCATCCACTACAACTCCTAGTGCCAGCACCACCCAGATGACAAGCACAACAGAAACTGTGGGACCTTCAGCAACTCCTACTGACAGCGTCACTCCTGGGACAACACCCACAGAGGCTGGTTCATCTTCACCAACTCTAGCCAGCAGCATCTCCCCTGATACAACTTCAACAGAAGGTAGCACATCTTCAACAGTGTCTAGTGACACCAGCAGCCCTGTAACGTCTACTGCAGAGGCTAGTGCACCACCAACAACACCTTCTGGTGGCACCTCTCCTCTGACAGACTCCACAGATTCCACTGTGTCCTCAACATCTTCTACAGACAGTGCCACCACGGAGACAGTGTCTACAGAGGCTGGTGCATCTTCAGCAACTTCTACTGACAGTGCCACTCCCGGGACAAATCCTACCGAGGCTTCTGCATCCACTACAACTCCTAGTGCCAGCACCACCCAGATGACAAGCACAACTCCTACTGACAGCATCACTCCTGGGACAACACCCACAGAGGCTGGTTCATCTTCAACAACTCTGGCCAGCAGCATCTCCCCTGATACAACTTCAACAGAAGGTAGCACATCTTCAACAGTGTCTAGTGACACCAGCAGCCCTGTAACGTCTACTGCAGAGGCGAGTGCACCACCAACAACACATTCTGGTGGCACCTCTCCTCTGACAGACTCCACAGATTCCACTGTGTCCTCAACATCTTCTACAGACAGTGCCACCACGGAGACAGTGTCTACGGAGGCTGGTGCATCTTCAGCAACTTCTACTGACAGTGCCACTCCCGTGACAACTCCTACAGAGGCTTCCACATCCACTACAACTCCTAGTGCCAGCACCACACAGATGACAAGCACAACAGAAACTGTGGGACCTTCAGCAACTCCTACTGACAGCGTCACTCCTGGGACAACACCCACAGAGGCTGGTTCATCTTCACCAACTCTGGCCAGCAGCATCTCCCCTGATACAACTTCAACAGAAGGTAGCACATCTTCAACAGTGTCTAGTGACACCAGCAGCCCTGTAACGTCTACTGCAGAGGTGAGTGCACCACCAACAACACCTTCTGGTGGCACCTCTCCTCTGACAGACTCCACAGATTCCACTGTGTCCTCAACATCTTCTACAGACAGTGCCACCACGGAGACAGTGTCTACAGAGGGTGGTGCATCTTCAGCAACTTCTACTGACAGTGCCACTCCCGTGACAACTCCTACAGAGGCTTCCGCATCCACTACAACTCCTAGTGCCAGCACCACCCAGATGACAAGCACAGCTCCTACTGACAGCATCACTCCTGGGACAACACCCACAGAGGCTGGTTCATCTTCTACAACTCTGGCCAGCAGCATCTCCCCTGATACAACTTCAACAGAAGGTAGCACATCTTCAACAGTGTCTAGTGACACCAGCAGCCCTGTAACATCTACTGCAGAGGCGAGTGCACCACCAACAACACATTCTGGTGGCACCTCTCCTCTGACAGACTCCACAGATTCCACTGTGTCCTCAACATCTTCTACAGACAGTGCCACCACGGAGACAGTGTCTACGGAGGCTGGTGCATCTTCAGCAACTTCTACTGACAGTGCCACTCCCGTGACAACTCCTACAGAGGCTTCCACATCCACTACAACTCCTAGTGCCAGCACCACCCAGATGACAAGCACAACTCCTACTGACAGCATCACTCCTGGGACAACACCCACAGAGGCTGGTTCATCTTTAACAACTCTGGCCAGCAGCATCTCCCCTGATACAACTTCAACAGAAGGTAGCACATCTTCAACAGTGTCTAGCGACACCAGCAGCCCTGTAACGTCTACTGCAGAGGCGAGTGCACCACCAACAACACCTTCTGGTGGCACCTCTCCTCTGACAGACTCCACAGATTCCACTGTGTCCTCAACATCTTCTACAGACAGTGCCACCACGGAGACAGTGTCTACAGAGGCTGGTGCATCTTCAGCAACTTCTACTGACAGTGCCACTCCCGGGACAAATCCTACCGAGGCTTCTGCATCCACTACAACTCCTAGTGCCAGCACCACCCAGATGACAAGCACAACTCCTACTGACAGCATCACTCCTGGGACAACACCCACAGAGGCTGGTTCATCTTCAACAACTCTGGCCAGCAGCATCTCCCCTGATACAACTTCAACAGAAGGTAGCACATCTTCAACAGTGTCTAGTGACACCAGCAGCCCTGTAACGTCTACTGCAGAGGCGAGTGCACCACCAACAACACATTCTGGTGGCACCTCTCCTCTGACAGACTCCACAGATTCCACTGTGTCCTCAACATCTTCTACAGACAGTGCCACCACGGAGACAGTGTCTACAGAAGCTGGTGCATCTTCAGCAACTTCTACTGACAGTGCCACTCCCGTGACAACTCCTACAGAGGCTTCTGCATCCACTACAACTCCTAGTGCCAGCACCACCCAGATGACAAGCACAACAGAAACTGTGGGACCTTCAGCAACTCCTACTGACAGCATCACTCCTGGGACAACACCCATGGAGTCTACTTCATCTTCAACAAGCCAGGTTGCCTCCAGCACAGTTTTTCCCACCACTACTGATAAGAATTCTTCTCTTACCACTTTAGGAGACACCACTCTATCTGTCTCCATTTCTACAGAAGGTGATAGTTCTGTAACAACTATTTCTGACACCACCACTCTTATATCAATTATGACTACTTCTGACATTCCCTCAACAAGTGTTGTTGGCTCTACACCTATGACACTTTCCACTGAATCAAATACACCCACAACTATAAGTGCTGCCACCATATCTGTTTCAACTCCTAAGGAGGTCAACACAACTGCAACATCTATTGCTACCACTCCTACAAGCAGCACACCTGTCACTTCTGCTTCAACTCCTACTAAGCCCAACACACCTACCACATCTTCCTTTGCCACCACCTCTCCTATGACCAGTACCGCAAAAGCTAGCACATTTTCAACAGTTGTTTCTAGCACCACCTCACCTATGTCTACTCCTGGCCACTCTACCCGTGCAACAACCTCTGCCTCCTCCACTTCTGGAACCTCTGTCACCACCACGACTGTCTCAACCTCAACAGCTGGAATAAAACCTACCACTCAGAGTGCTACATCCACGACAGTCACCACTGTCTCTAGTGTTATACCAACAATAGCAAGTAAGTAATTTCTGAATTCACTTTTTAAATACTTAAATTACTTTTCAATCTACCTTTTTGTGGTTTTCTTCTTAAACTTTTTCTCATTCACTTCTAATGCTCTTACTTGTTTTCCATTAAATACAAACCTCTGCCTCCTATCACTGAAACATTTATTTCTCTATATGTCTTTTTTTTTTTTTTTTTTTTTTTAAGCTTTAAAAAGGTCATTTAATTTGGTGCTTTAACACAACTTGACTGGTGCTTCTTTCCTTGCTGTCTTCACATCCAGCCATGGGGCCAATTCTACTTTTCAGTAAATGTTTGACAGCTCTTTACTTAATAACAGTCTCAGCACTTTTATTAAGCATGCAAGACTAACAAAACTTTGGCAATGCATAAGTGTAACACAGTGACGAGAGAGCTTTTACAATTAAGTCTTCTAATACTGCCTTCACAGTGTGGAAATTGTGCTACATCCACCAAAAGAGGGCCCCGTCTACTCAAATATTTTAGTACTTCACCCCAGGAACAAACTCCTTTGCATTTGGATTCAGATTGCTCTTGACCACAAGATATTCCAGAGAAGAGCCATCACCGATAACAAGGTCATTAAATTGGTCTTGTATTTGGTCCATAGTTTGTGGAAGATCTCGAGCTGGAATAAACCACTCATGTTCTTCTTCCTCTTCCAGCATTTCTTGGAAACAGCGTTCAATAAATTCTTCTTCCCATAACTCTTCTTCTATTTGTCTGTTGAATTCTTCTTCATTTTCCATCCACATGTATTCTGCAAATGGATTGTCATCTTCATGAGAATGACCGTTAATAATCACATCTTCATTGATGTTGCTTGGGCTAGTACTGCTGCGACTTGGATCTTTCATGGTTGGCGTTAGTTGTCGTTTTTAACCCAGTGCACGGCAGCGGGGACGGCAGCCAACGAATCCGGTCGGCCTCCGCGGATCTCCACAGGCAGCGCCGCTACCCCGCTCGACGCGCGCTTCCTATTTCTCTATATGTCTTGATGCTTCTTTCACTAGGCCACTCTTCTGTACAACACAGTTTATCTCTCTCCTTGGACACCTTCAGTCCCCAGTAAGGTGTACACACACCCTATTTCCTTCCTTTTATGCTCTGCAAGTGCCTGTCCCATTGCATTTTATATATTATAATTTCCTTAACTTTGTATCTTTCATTTGCATCTTTACATATTTCAGAGAAGTTTTTCTCATTGATTTTGCACATGCTTAAGGGCAAAGTTTTGTTTTGTTTTTGCAGGAAGATATTGTCAATAATATTCACATGTGGCTTTAGACACTGTCTCTCTACCACAATTCACTTTTATTTTGTTTTATCTTATCCTTTGAGCATCCACCATAGAAGCAAAAGAAAGTTCACTTTTACCAGTTCTGAACTCTACCTCCACGTCATTGAATATTCATCCTTATGCGTTCTTCGTTTCTCTCTGACTCTCAAGATTTCATTCAGCTCTCTTCACTTTGGTTAGAACGAGACACGCCATACCTATTGTTATAACATGATACACCATTATACCTGTCAGTATTATCAGATTGAAAAAGGATTTTTGGCATGCATTAAAGAAAGTACAGCAGGCCCTCGAATAACGTCTCATTCAATGTTGTTTTATTATAATGAAATGCCATAGTAACTTAACTCTTGTTTATATCAATCAGCTTATGTAAAATTGGTTTCATTATACATTATTTCACTTCACAGAACCTATTGAGGATGTTAAGTGAGGATTTACTGTGTATCAGTTAAAATACTTGAAAGTTTTACTGATTTAAATTAATTATAGATATGATCACAGACATATATGACCTATGTCTGTCCAGGGTACTGCCCAATCTGTCTTGAATTGATAAAAATGAAAGGTGGTTTTTCAGCTTTTGGCTATTGCATTTTCTCGGGGCTTTGTAAATTCTTCCTCTGTTGTGTTCTGCTTTGCCTGACCTTCCTATTATATGGCTTTGTTCTCTAGTTTCTCTCCAATGTGTCTTTGTCTTAGTGAGTTCACTCTGGTTCTCAGGGGATGGGCTGAGCATCTTCAGAAAGGCGATTTGGACCTTGTGTTCCCAGGAAGCCCCAAAGGTATTTCACAGAGAATGCCAAGTGAATGCATGACTTCTGAGCCCAAAGCTAATTTTGGTCATCACCTGATGGCAGATGGTCTCTTTCTGTCTTCTTCCTGTCCCCTGGAGGTTGGCTTTCTTTTTAGACTATTAGGCATTAGGTGAACACACACCAGCAGCTGCTTTTGCTGTTATGCACAAGCCTAAGCTTAAGCACTTAGATCAGGCCTGAACATTCTTCAGGAGAGAGAGAGAGAGAGAGAGAGAGAGAGAGAGAGAGAGAGAGAGAGAGAGAGAGAGAGAGAGAGAGACTGTCTTGGACCAAAGGTTGTAAACAGAAACTGTGTGATGTGACTGTCACGGATGTGGCCTCTGCTCTGGTGAGGGTAGACCAGGAGGCAGAGGTAGGGCAGTCCTTTGTAGAGTATATGCACAACTCCTGTGCCTCCCCAGAGGAACCATATCTCAAATACTGGTCTTCATAGGCACAGATCTTTTAAGAAAAGCCAAATGAATCGAGCTTTAGATATTCTAAGTTGGTTGGTGTAGATATTTGAGCATTATCTATAACCACTTCGTATGTATTTAAGCTAAGTTTACACTCCTCCTCAAACTTCATGTCCAAGCAAATAAAAATGAGTCATAGACACTCACAATGGCAAAATTTTCCAGGACAAACTCTTCTGAAGCAGGCATTGAAGGGACAATGACATGCTTATTCCCAAGCTTGGTGGATTCCAGATTGGTCAAGTCCCCCTAGGTTCTTCCAGTCTTTGTGTCCCTTTTTCTCATCCTCAGTCTTGACTGTGTTGCCCCCATTTCTTGCAATACCAGCTTTTTCATTCCTTGATTTTTAGTACTAAAGTAAAGTATGTTGGAAATAGGACGCCACAGCCAGGTCAACTCTGCTTCCAGGTGGAACCTTAGCCTCTCTCCATCTCACTTCTCCATCTGTAAAGTGGAGATGATACTGTCCTGTCCATTCAGGGGTTCTTGAAAATATCTGATTAGATCATGTCTGTGAAAATATGTCGAAAGCTATAAAGTATTATGCAAATATGTGTGGTTAAGATGGGCCTTGTTCCTTTCAGTCACCTGTGACAACGGAGGGACATTGAACGGAAATGTCTGTAAATGCCCCTCTGGCTTTGGAGGAGATCGGTGCCAGGACAAGACCCCAGTCTGTGAGAATGATGGCAAGTGGGATGGGGCCAAGTGTGAGTGCACCAGCCTCTACCAGGGGCCAACGTGTCAGGATGTGGTCCAGATCATTGAGATAAGTGAGTAAAACTACAGGGCCTTTTCTTCCCAAACCCTGGGAACCCATTTCTGTTTCTCCTTGGCTAGAAATATGGCCTCTTTCTGAGGCAACCATTTTATCCAGTAGTAAGAAAGTAAAAATATTTAATAAATAAATAGATTTTTTTTAAGGTATAGTTTGGAACAAAATAAAAATTTGTTACAGAATCTTACCAAAGGTTGTATTTAAAATAAGTGAATATATGATGGAGCAGAATACAAGAAGTATATAGAATTCTCTAATCCTATCTAACAAAAGGCTAATATGCAAATTGTTCCCTCGGGTGTTGGACCCACTGGGAGTTCAATTGCTCATTATGACATGTGCTGACCACCAGAGGGCAGAATGGAATGAAGGAAGGCCCTGATTGCTGGCCAGGTCTAAGGACCCTACCTGTACACAAATTTCATGCACCAGGCCTCTAGTCCTATATAATAAAGAGCTAATGCTAATTAGACTGAATAGCAGAACAACCATCTGGACAACCTTCTGGATGAAGCTGGGACTGCGAGGGTCTGCAAGTGCTGAGCCCCTTGCACAAATTTCGTACATCGAGCCTTCAGTAGAATATAAGACCCAAGGTCTCCTGGTCTCCATTCAAAAGCCATGAGGATTACAGGGAATTCCCTCTCTCCAGGGGTACTCTGGTGATAAATGAGTGGAGGTTGAGGGTGGGAACCCAAGCTACTCTCCCACCTTAGAGGTATGGGTCTCCTTGGTAGGGAATTCAGTGGATGCCGCCCTCAGTAAGTGATGCTGTTGTCTGATCCCCTCAGAGCCTCCAGAGACTGTCTCTGCCCAGGTGGAACTGAGTGTGACAGTGACCAGTAAGGAATTCACCGAAGAGCTACAAGACCGGTCTTCTAAAGAATTCCGGGAGTTCAATAAGACATTCTCCGAAGAGGTGGGCCTGGGAGAGCAAGTCCTTGTTGCCACTCACATCTCCCCAGGGAGAAATCTCTAAGTGTTAAAAAAGTAGATGAAGGCCATGCTAGAGGTGTGTGAGTTTCTCAGCTCACCATTTCCTCAGGGCTTGCCGGGGAGGGAGGAGAAAGAAGCAAGATTCCACCAGGAGCCCAAGGGTGGGGCTGGTCTCTGGCAAGAGACTACTTTGTCTGGGCAGTGTACCTCTGTCAGCTGGGGATGGGGAACGGGAGATGCTGCATGTCTTTCCTCTGTCCTCCTGAGATTCTACAGAAAGACTTAGAAGGCCCCCAGGGAGGGCCTCTGGGATAACACAGTGGCCTCCTTGTCTTTCAGATGGACAAAGTTTATTCCAAAATCCCTGAATATGTAGGAGTTAACATCACAGAATTGAGGTAAGTATCTGGAGTTCCTAGGAAGAAAGTCTATGGACTGGAAGCTATAGTCATAATTATAAAGACAACTAGTAGCCCTGCCCACGAATCCGTGCGCCAGTAGCTCTCTGTGGGGCCTGGCTGCTCTGCGCCCACTGCCCAGAGGTTCATCCATGGCTGGATGCAGAACACTTGCTCATCACTGGGGCAACAACGCAAGCGATCCCCTTCCCCCACCCTGCCCCTGGCCACTCTGTGCCCGCTGCCTAGAGGACCATCCTCAGCCAGGCACGAAATGCTTGCCTCGTCACCGTGGCAACAAAGCAAGCACTCTGCCATGCTGCTCACCCTGCCTGCTCTCATGGCTGCTCCCCACTTCTCCCCTCCGTGACCGGGAAACTTTGGCAGGGCTGAGAAGACTGGGCACCACCATTTTGTGGCTATGGGTGCCACTATATTTGTGATGGAGTGATGGTTAATTTGCATATTATCCTTTTATTATATAGGTTTGTAACTATGCCCCTAATATTAGTATGCTAGGGCTGTCATAACACAATATCCCACGCTGGATGGCTTAAACAACAGATATTTAATTCTTATGGTTCTGGAGGCTGGAAGTCCAAGATCAAGGTGTCAGCAGGCTTGGTTTCTTCTGAGGTCTCTCTCCTTGTGTTGCAGACAGTTGCTTTCTTGCTGTATCCTCACAAGACCTTTTCCTTGTTCATGTGGGCCCCTGGTATCTCTTCCTATAACCAAATTTCCTCTTTTAAAAAAAAATGTTTTTATTTATTTTAGAGAGAGGTGGAGGGAAGGCAATGTTGAGAGAAAAACAGACATTGATTGGATGCCTCCTCCTACATGCCCGGTATTGGGGATCAAGTTTGCAACCTAGGCATGTGCCCTGACCCGGAAATCAAACCTGCAACCTCTTGGTGCAACCAACTGGGCCACAATGACAAGGGGAAATTCCCCCTCCTTTAATGACACTGGTCATATTGGATTAGGGCCTACCCTACCTTGTTTTAACTTAATCATTTCTGTAAAGGCTCTATCCCCAAATACAGATGCATTGTGAGGTACTAGGGGATTGGGGCTTCAACATATGGATTTGGGGAAAACACAATTCAGCCCATGAAACTCTTCAATAATTATAGTTTCACATACATTTTCCAATTGAAAGCTCATAACCACCTTGTGAATGAGGTCAGTGAGGCTGTTCCCATTGTGCAGATGAGAAACTGAGGCTTTGAGAGATGCAGTGAGCTGCTTGAGGGATCATTCATAGAGCGGTAGTGCCAAGACACCAACACACCAGAACACCTGAGGCTACAACTTGTGTGATGAACACCTCATTAGTCTTCATTGATGAAGCCAAATAACTTAGCTTGGAAAGGGAAACACCCAGGAAAAAAGGTGTCCAAGTCTTCAGTTGTCCTATATTCCCTTCCACTCACCTAGGATAGGATTTCACATCCCCACCACACACACACACAGAGAGAATTATTACCCTGTTCTTGACCCCAACTTTATGAAATCCTTTGGAACACAAGGGAAATATCCTTTCTCATGGTTGAGAGTCACCATTGATAATTTTCAAAGGGAACTTACAACCAAAAGAAAAAAATTGTACAAAAAGCACAGAAAAATACTGTGTTTACCAGCCTTCATTTTTCTTCCTCCCTCAATTCTGTCTGACATGAAACCTCTCTCACACAAGAGAGGCCATCCCAGGTAGGACCAGGCGGGGTTCCCAAGCCTTCTTCCAGGCTGCATGTGCAGCAGGTACCTGGGCCAACCTCAGGGTAGGGCATATCTGCTCTTCAGCAGCTCAGTTACCCTGGAAGATAATAGCACTTTTTTCCTTCTGCCCCTAAAACTCTCCAGGACTGGCATGTGTTGATCCTGTAGAGCTCTCTCTTTTGCTCCTGGGATGGGGGTGATCGTGGGGACTCTGTAGTGCCAATCGTCATCCATGTACTTCATCTGTTTCTCAGTCTCTCAGGCAAGAGAAGGAGGATGAGCTCTGTGGACAGGCACTGAGCCAGTGCCTTTATGGTCCTTCCAAAAGGCATCACAGGTTTCCCACCTCCTTAGACAGAGGAGGGCTATGAGGGCCATGGGGGAGCACACAACAGGAAAGTGATTCTTGCTCAGAGAGTGGGGCAGTGGGAATGATGGAAAACGAAAGGAACTAAAGGGAAGCTATGAGCATGTCTGGGATCCTGGCTTCTTCTAAGTCTTGAACAGGAAGTAGGAAGAGACTTTTGACTAGGACTTTAACCTTGTAGGTATCAGGGACTCCTTTCAGAATTGACAAATATTTGTGGGAGTAGAAAAATGGACATATGCGCTTTGAAATTTTTGCATACAGTCTTAAGAGGCTCACAGACCTCCTGCAGTCAGCCTACCACCTAGAAATTAATAAATTATGTAGGAGTCTCTGGTGCAACCTTCTCCTCTGTGGCAAATGACCTCTTAGGGATGCCTTGCCAGAAGCTGCCAATCTCGTGCTTAAGCTGCCAGTCTCCTGCTTAAGCAGCTGCCAGTCTCTTGCTTAAGTAACACCTTAAGGATGATCTCTTCCATGGTGCTATCCCTCTGTTCATCTTCATCCCTGAGCCCTCCCTGAGTCTTCCACCTTAGTAGACAGTCCTCTTAGGCACAGGTGATATAGGTCCTATAGTGACATGCCTCGCACAGTGCCTGGAATGGAACCTTCACCCAGTAGACATTGGGTCTTCATTTTCAACCATCCTCTCCCAGATCTGCCTTCCCATGGAGGCAGAGAAGGCAAAGCTCTCCTGGGGAAGGGATTGGAGAGATGAGCACCCAGGGGGATGACCAAGGATATCTTTCTCTCTCTCCTCAGTTCTGGCAGTGTGGTGGTGCAACATGATGTCATTCTGCAGGCCAAGTTCAACTCAGAATACAAGGAAGAGTTTAAGAAGGTCACCAAAGAGATAGAAAAAACAATTACGAATGTAACTCAACAGCAAATAATGAGTAATGGTAACTGCTCAGGTAAATTCCTAGGTTTCTGGGGAGGGGCATAAGGAGGCTTCCAAAGAACCTTTAAGTTTTGAGATGCCTGGGTTGGGGGAGGGGAAAGAGGCAGATGGGGGAAGCAAGAGGACACTGAGAGAACAGAAATCAGTCCCAAAGCTTGTCACTTGGACTGGCAGATGCCAAGGGAGGCTCTGAAGGGAGACCTTCAGAGGCAGATGTGCTATATCCCAAGTTTGCAGGGAAATGAGATGAGCCTAGCTTATTACCCAATGTAGATGTTTCTTAATGCAATGAGCATTTTGGGAATCTTGGCCAAGAATGGAATGGGAAAAGAAAGACATTTGGAGAGTCATGGTTCTGGAGAGTTGGATATGAGGCTAGTATTTCCTCTTTGCAGAACTGATTTACATCTCCCCCATCACAGCCCCATGCCCTCCCCCACACACACCTGAGCCACCTCTAAACAAGCTCATCAGGGACTTTGTGTCTCCTTCACAGCCACTCTGTGCTTCAATAAAAATGCCACAGAGGTGATAAACACTGTGATAGACTACGACCCTGAAGGTAGGTGACCCAGGGGCTTTGGGGAAGGCGGGGGAGACAGGCAGCACTCCCAGACTCTTGATCATGTGCCTCCATGCCCCCTCAGTGGACTGCCGGGAAAAGGCTGGGAAAGACTTGGCTAAATACTTCTTTGTGGAGTACAAGGACCAGCAACCAAAGTGCATCAACCGCTGCATGCCTGGTTTCAATGCCTCCTTGAACTGCAACGCTGGAACGTGCAAGTTGGAGCGCAGTGGCCCGAAATGCTAGTGAGTGTTTCACTACCTCACCTCAGGCCTGCTTCTCTTCTCCCCAGCCCCCAACACCCACCTCACTCCTCAGTTTGACCTGAAGCCCAAGGTTATGGGGTGAGTCCTGGACTTTCCTAAATGCAGCCAACCACAAAGGACATCCATGGGAGTCCCAAGGCCATGTCCAAAATGAGCAGGGAGTGGTTCAATTCCCTGGGTATGTGTCTAGTGAGGCTGAGGACAGTGTCAAGCTCAGGAAGCAGAAGCAAGGCCCCAACCTTGAGAAGTTCCCACTCAGATGGGAGGACAGGGCCTTGCTTCCAAGGAGAGTTCAACATCCCCTGCTGGTGAAATGGATATAAAAGGCACACCTACATGGGAAGGGTGGAAAGCCTGTAATTGCTAAGGGAGGAGGAACGCAAAAAAAAACATTGCCTACGGAAACTAAACCAAAGGGAGAGCAGCTGGAGCACCAGGTGTGGCTGAAGGAGTCACACATATGCACAGGCCAGAGTAGTTATTCTGGGAAGGCTTCCTGGCAGAGGAATTTACAGGTTGTCTCAGGGAGGAAAGGAACAGGGCTTAGAAAGGGCATCTCCAGGGAAGAGGAGTTGCTTCAGAGGTGTTCTGGGTCTGGCCTGGGGGATGGCTCTTCCCCATAGAGAGGGAGGCCGAAAATGAAGCTGATTAATGTGTCGGCGAAAGAGTCTCTGTTGGGTCCTCAAGTCCCTGGGTATAGCCCAGGGAAGCCCAATTTGGGCCAACTGTTTTAGGTCTTGGGTTGCAAAACCTGAAGGCCTAGAGCTGAGTATTAAGCCTATTTAAGGTCCACCCATAGAAGCTGCACTTTGCCTCGGTTCATCCTCTCAGGGTGCCTTGCTCTGCACCCCAAAAATCTCTTCTTCACCTTCCCATTAAGCACCCATGGGGTCAGAGCCAGTTCTGAGACTGGGGGACTGCAGGCATTGGTTGGCCCTGACTCTGAATGACTCCCTCTTCCCACCTGCACCTTTCTCCATCTCAGCTGCTTGAACACAGACACTGCTTGGTACAGCGGAGAAACCTGTGAGGTTAGCACCAAGAAGAACCTGGTGTACGGGCTCCTGGGGTCAGCAGGCGCAGTGGTGCTGATGATTCTCGTCATCCTCCTGGTGTTTATGTTCCGCTCCAAGAGAGAAGTGAAAAGGTAAGCCACTGCTGCTGCCTCTTCTCTTCGCCTGCAGCTCCTCCTCCTTTTCGGATCCCTCTGCCTTTAATCATTTTATCCTTGAGGTGAACAGAATTAGTCCACCCCATTCTCTACTCAAAATGGGATCTCTCTGGTGTTTCTATTAACAGACAAAAGCACAAAGTGACTCAGTTGTACAACTGGCATGAGGATGGTGGAACAGCCCCTGGGACCTTCCATAACATTGGCTTTGACATCTACGAAGGTATTAGAAATTCTCGGTGTGCTAAAAATATCTCAAAGTTTGGAACACACAACTGAGGCATGTGGGAGGGGCTTGAAGGAGCAATAGGGAAAAGCATTTTTATCTCTAAAACATTTGGTTCCACATCTGCAACCCTATTTCCACCACTGGCTCCTGCAAGGCCCTGGATGGGGTGCACGTATGGGCACAGCATCATTAGACCATGGGGAGGGGTGTCTCAGGTTATTTGGTGGTCATAGATTTCTCTAGAACACAAAACTGTGCATAGGTGAATACAGATCTAGGAGTGGGTAACCTCATGAATAGGTGGCTTATAGCTCAGTAAAGTGATTAATGATAGGTTTTGTTCTGTTAAATGTACATGTTTAAGTGTCTAGAGATTGAGTCTTTAAAGGAAAAATGAAATGAGAATATTTCTAAAAATTGCCTTTAAATTCTAAAGAAGGGGAAAATTGGAATGAGGAAAACATTTTAGTCTCTCCACAAAAAAGGCAAGAAAGGGGAAACAAAAAAGGGAAAGAGTATGACAATTAACACAAAATAAAATAGAAAATAATCCAACCATATCAATAATTATAATAAATATAAACAAGTTAAACACGCCAATTAAAAGAGTAGATTCTTAAAAATCTACTTACTGTGGGTTAAAGGCACATATAAAATACAAGTATAGAGTCAGGATGAAAACAGGAGTGTGGAGAAAGACAAAAGAGACTAATAACAAAGTAGCTGTTGTTCTAATATAGCTATTTCATTGTGGGCAAATAAACTCTAAGGTAAAAAGAATTACTAGGGATAAAAAATGATCAATATCTACTGGGAAATTGTTTAGTTTTTTAAATAATATAACAAGTCTAAATTGTGAGTCCTATTAATACAGTTTTAAAATATATAAAGCAAAAATTGACAAAACTACAAGTAAAAATTGATTAATTCACCAACGCAGTGAGATTTAAAAAAAATTTTTCTCTTAGTAATTGATTGATCAAGCAGGCAAAAAAAAAATCAATCAAGAATATATAAGTTTCATACAAAATAAATAACAGCCTTAATATAATTTTTATAGTCAGACTGCTTTCAACAACTGGAGAGTATACATTCATTATATGAGTATATGGAAAACTTGTAAGAATCACCACACACAAAGCCAGAAAAAATTCTCAATAATTTTTTCCTTTCCTTTTCTTTTTTAAAAAAATATACTTTTATTGATTTGAGAAAAAGAGAGAGAGGGAGAGAGAAAGAGAGAGAGAGAGAGAGAGAGAGAGAGAGAGAGAGAGAGAGAGAAATATCAATGATAAGAGGGAATCATTGATGGACTGCTTTCAGCACACCCCCTACTGGGGATTGAGCCCACCACCGAGGCATATGCCCTTGACTTCAGTCTGCAGGTCAACACTCTAGTCAGGGAGCCAAACCAGCTAGGGCTTAATAATTGTTCTAAATTATTTAAGTTAACTGTAGTATATAACTACAATGCAAATGAGTTAGAAATCTATAACAAAAAAATATTCCTGGAAAACAAAAACACAAATCCTATATCTTTGGAAATGTCCTTAAAGTTTCTAAATAATTCATGGGCCAAAATGTAAAGACCAAACTCCCTGTGCACATAGATACAAGGATGCCAAACAAAAAATTTGCACCCCAAATCCATCAGGTATGAAAACAAAACTACTTGGGTTTATTCTAGAAAACAGAGTTAACTAAAGATTAGAAAATCTATAAATTCACTACATTACCGGAATAAGAAGAAACCTATTGTCACCTCAATGGGTGCATATAAAGAATTTAATACATGTCTGCTCATCAGAAAAAGTCATCCAATTATATATAGAATTTCCATTTTCTGGTAAAAGGCATCCATACAAATGCAAAAATGATTTTCAATGATAAATCATTAAAAGTCATTCAATTTATCTAGGGGTTGGCAAACTTTCTTTTCTTTCTTTCTTTTTTTTTAGTCCTCACCCAAGGATATTTTTTTCCATTGATTTTTTTTTTTTTTTTTTTTTTTTTAGAGTGGAGAAGAGGGAGGGGGGAAGAGAGACACACACACAGATTGATTCAGTGCTTCCCACATGCACCCCCACTGGGGCTAAGAGTCCAACCTGCAATGGAGACACTCCCCTTGACTGGAAATAAAAGCATCAACCCTTGGGCCCACAGGCTGACGCTCTAATTACTTAGCAAACCAGCCAGGACAGCAAACATTTTTATAAAGAGTATAGTTGGGACTTGTGGGCTATATGATCCTGGTCACCAGGAAGTGCATTGATGAGTCCCTGCAGAGGGTGCAGGGGATGGGTGCCAGGCAGGCAGGGCAAGGAGCGTGGAACGGGACCCCAGGTGGCGGGAGGTGGTGCATGCCCCTCATCCAGCAGTGGGTGGGATTAAAAGGAGAGATGAGAGCTTGTCTTCCCAACCATGTGCTTACATGGGTCTTTCTCCCTGTCTAGAACCACAGAACTCCCTGAACCTGGACTCCATCTATAGTAACTTCCAGCCCTCCCTGGAACATGTAGATTCTAAAAAGAAGGTAAGAAGGGTCTGCATGAGAGGCTCACCTTCCCCGCTCTGAGATCCCATCTCCCTACTTCCCTCCCCACCATGGTAGGATCTTGGGGAAAGCAAAGTCATGCTTATGATTTGTTAGTCCAGGTGATCATCCAGGCCTACCTGATGGAAAATGGAGATAACTTGGGATGGCAGCAGGTCGGGGAAGAGAGCTAAGCAGCAAGGTGGGGTCTACCCTTCAGAAATTCATACAATTCTGGTTTTGGGGTGATGAACTCCTTTAGCTTTTTTTTATTTGAAAAATCAGCTGACAATTGTATGGGTGCTCTTTTATAGGTAACTACCTGCTTTTCTCTTGCTGCTCTTAATATTCTCTCTTTGTCTTTTGCTCTTGGAATTTTAATTATGATATGTCTTGGTGTGGTCCTCTTTGTATTCCTTTTGTTTGAGGTTCTGTGTGCTTCCTGGACTTGTAAGTCTAATTCTTTCACCAGGTGGGGGAAGTTTTCTGTTACTATTTCTTCCATTATGTTTTCGGTATCTTGCTCTCTCTCTTCTTCTGGGACCCCCATAATTCTGATGCTGATTTACTTGAAGTTGTCACAGAGGTTTCTTACACTATTTTCAACTTTCTGGATTCTCTTATCTTCTTGCTTCTGTGGAGGAATGTCCTCTGGCTCTTTGTGTTCCAAATCTTTGTCTTGATTCCTGCGATCTTCCAGACTGTTTTTAGGACTCTGTATAATATTTTTTATTTCAGACAATGTTTTCTTTATTTTTAGTTGATCCCTTTTTATTTCTAGTTGATCCCTTTTCATATCCTCATAGGTCTCATTTATTTTATCAGCTTTTTAAGGAAATTCTTGAAAAACCTTATAATTGTAGTTTTGAACTCAATGTCCATTCTTTTACTTTCCTCCATCTCCTTCCTTTGTGTTCTGCCTCTTCTCTGCATTTTAGCTGCTTTCCTGATTTGATGGAATAGTTTTGTGTGCTAGGTGTTCTGGTAGAGCCCCGTAGCACAGCCTTCCCAGTTACCTGAGGTGGACAGTCTTGGTATAGCCCTTTGTGGGCTGTGTGTGCCGTCTTGTTGTTAAGCCTTGCTTGTTGTTGGTATCACTGGGAAGCACTGATCTCCAAGCCAATTGGCTGTGAGGATCAGCAGTGTGGCTCCCACCTTTTAAAAATATACAAGGTGGGCAAAACTAGGTTTATATTGTTTGTATGTAAAATAACATAATTATTAATAAATAATAATGTAAGAATAAACTATATTTTGCATACTCACAAATGTAGACCTACTTTTGTTAACCCCTGTATTGGTTTTTGTAAGAGTCCAAGATGATTGTCTTAAGGAATGCTCCACATTCTGGATTTGTCTAATTATTTCCTTATGGTGTGATTTAACATGTCTCTCAATTCTCTGTGATTTAACATGTCTCTCAGTTCACTGGCAATTTTGTCAACAGGCTTGATTACACTCACCTTAACCATTTTTGTTAGGCATACATCAAGGGTACATAATGTCAGGTTGTCTCATTATAATTGAAACCAAGATAGGTCAGTTAGGTAAGGGATGACAACTCCTTGATTGCCACTTTTATTTTAACTGGGTGTATATTTGAGGGCAGAAGAAATACCCTCAAATATTCTCACTTCATGGGTATGATTGGCTTCAGACACTGGTTCTCTTCCCTAGAGACAACCTCGTTACAGAGGTGAACTCCTTAGCTAGGACACTTTTAAACTGACCTAATTTGGGGGTAGGGGAGAGTGGAGGGAAACTATTGGTTTGTACTGGACTCCAATTAATAGATTAAGTTCTAAATTGAATGCTTTCCTTTTCCCAAGACTCTCATGCTCCCAAATTCCAGGTTTATCCTAGGCCCAACCTTCACCTGGTTCTCACTCTCTTTACAGATACAAATTAAGAGGCCTGAGGTGACGATGACATCATTGTAAGGCAAAAGAAATTTCACATGGAGCTGTGGGATCTCGAAATGAGGAGATCTCCATTCAGCTAAGTTTCATGGAACATTTCTCCATTGAGAGCATTCCACAAGAACATGATAAGAAATAAGGAAGGCTCAATCAGCATGGTTCAGTGGTTGAGTGTTGACCTATGAACCAGGAGATCATGGTTTGATTCCCAGTCAGGGCACATGCCTGGGTTGTGGGCTCCATCTCCAGTTGGGGACGTGCAGCAGGCAGCTGACCAGTGATTTCCTCTCATCATTGGTGTTTCTATTTCTCCCTTCCTCTTTGAAATAAATAAAAAATATATTTTAAAAAAGAAAAGAAATTAAGAAGAAGAGAATAGAGACTACAGTTCTGAGAATCAAATAGAAACACCGTGGAACCCCCAATGGACTTGTTATGACCTCAAGCGAGTTCCTTCGGCTCTTCCTGGGGAGGTTCTTCCTCCTCTATGTCCAGCTTCAGCACCAAGGACAGCATTCTCATCAACAGGTTTACTGTGATGATCCTTCAAACCCTGGTTTGCACCCTCCATTATATAAAATCATCTTGTAAACTTTATTGAATCAGCTCTTCATGAAAAACATGTTTTTTTTAATGTATAACATTTTTAGTATATAAGATTATGAGTATTTTTAAAGTTCTTTTTATCTACAGAGCCTGGGTTTTTTTGTTAGTCAATATTATCATATCTACACTAATAAAAGAGAAAGATGCAAATTGACCATACTTTCGTGATGCCCACCAGCCAATCAGGAGTGTGTATCCAAATTAACCCAACAAAGATGATGGATTAATTTGCATATGCATGCGCCAAGTGGGGGGGGGGGCGGGCAGGATAATTGCATCGTTGCCATGGCAATGACTCAGGTGTTCCACACCGCCCCAGCCACTCAGGGCCTCTGGGCAGCATGGGAAGGTAGGGCCAGAACGTAAAGGCAGTGCCAGCAGCCAGGGAAAGGAAGGCCCATCCTGCACAAATTTTCATGCATTGGGCTTCTAGTCCTATCTATTGTAATAAAGAGGTAATATGCAAATTGACCATCACTCCAACATACAAGATGCTGCCCCCATGTGATCAAAGATGGCTTCCCCCATGTGGACACAAGATGGCCACCATAAGATGGACAGCATGGGAGGGCAGTTGGGGGTAACCTGGCTGGCAGGGGAGGGCAATTAGGGATGACCAGGCCTGCAGGGGAGGACAGTTGGGGTGACCAGGTTTGCAAGGGAGGGAAGTTAGGGTTAACCAGGTTGGCAAAGGAGGGAATTTAGAGGTGACCAGGCCAGCAGGGGAGGGCAGTTATGGGTGACCAGGCTGGCAAGGGAGCAGTTACGCGTAGATCAGGCTGGCAGGAAGTGGTTAGGGGGTGATTAGGCTGGCAGGCAGAAGTGGTTAGGGGCAATCAGGCAGGTAGGCAGGCAAGCAATTGGGAGCCAGCAGTCCTGGATTGTGAGAGGGATCCCAGATTGGAGAGGGTGCAGGCTGGACTGAGGGACACCCCCTCCTCCCATGCACAAATTTTGTGCACCAGGTCTTTAGTATTTTTAATAACTAAAAACAATACAATGAATTTTATGAAATTTTTCGTGGTTCTCACACCATTTCTAGTCAACACCTTATATAAACTCATGTTTCTCACCTACCAGGCTCTCTCCTCCTCCCCTTCTCTTCTCTAGAATCTAGGTTCCAATGAGTTTGACCTCAAGATGACAAAAAGGGAAATTTGCAGCCAAGAAGAGTGCCATCTCTGACCTTCCCTGGCATCACTGGCTGACCATCAAGGACGCCAAGAAGATCCCACACACATTCACTCCCACAACATAGGGACTCACTTCCTACTGAGAGAACCAAGTTCTTCTGGAAATGGGCTCTTCCCATAGATCTGAAGAGATGGAGTCTTGGGTTCTATTTCCTGCTTTCTCATTAACTCCTTGGTTAAATTTGGGGAAATCGGATTTGACCGGTTGGACTTAGTCTTGCCTTGTGCTAAATAAGGACTAGGTTGTTGTTAAAGTCACTGCGGTTTTAAATATTTTAAGAATGCTTTAGTACTATTCCTGCCATGCAGCCCTGGATTCATTTTGTGCTGGAAGGTCTCTTCCAAAGGCCACTTAACCTTCACCTAAGAAACAGCCTAGGCTAGACTCTGCTGCCCCCTCATGGATGCTTAGAGCATCTGCAGTACCGTTCAGCAGCTCCCTGCCATTCCCTCCCGACCTCTCTCATTAGATCACTTGGCTCATTTCCATATTTGCCATAAAATTACCCAGCTCCTAAAACTGGGTTGTCTTAGTCCAGTCTTATGTTATAGAAGACCATCTACGTCTGGCTTATACACAGCACACATTTGTTCCTCACAGTTCTAAAGGTGAAAAGTCCAAGATCATAGTATGAACAGAGTTGGCATCTGCCGAACACCTGTTTCCTGGTTCACAGACACCTGTCCTTTTTCTGTAAACACACGTGGTGGAGAGGACGAGAGAGCTCTCCTGGGCATTTTCTAGAACGGCACTAATCTAATCCCATTCCAGATTGACCTAATCACCTCCCAAAAGGCCCCACCTCCTAACACCATCACACTGGGAATTAGGTTTCAACATATGATTTTGTGGTGGAAACACATTTAGTCTGTAGCATGGACTGACTCAGGTATCTTTACTGTCAGAACCACCTCCCACAGGACCAGGTAACAATGGCCATGCAAGGGGGGACTTAAAGGGTCTACAGATTCCACATCCAGTCTGAAGCCATATTACCCAGCTCAGCCCCATCCTGCTCTCTCCTCACATCTGCTCCATGGAGAGGAAAACTAGAGTGACTAAATTCATAGCTGGCCCAGGTCCAACTTTGGGTGAGCCATCCAGCCACCTGGGTGAGCTTGGAAAAGTAACTTCTCTCTGGACCTCAGTTCTCTCAGATGGAAAAGCTGAGTGACCACTCACCTGTGCCAAGCACCGTTCTAAGTGTTATATATATATATATATATATATATATATATATATATATATATATTTAAAATATATTTTATTGAGTTTTTACAAAGAGGAAGAGAGAGGGATAGAGAGTTAGAAACATTGATGAGAGAGAAACATCAATCAGCTGCCTCTTGCACACCCCTTATTGGGGATGTGCCCACAACCAAGGTACATGCCCTTGACCGGAATCGAACCTGGGACCTTTCAGTCTGCAGGCTGGCGCTCTATCCACTGAGTCAAGCCGGCTTCGGCTAAGTGTTATATATTTTAACTCACATGTTCCCTACAACCCTGAGGAGTGGGAACTTTCATCATCCCCATCACGCAGGTGAGGGAAATGAGGCAAAGAGACATCCAGTAACTTGCCCAGGATTCTGCAGCCAGTGGATTGTAAGGCTGAGATAATAAACCAGTCATGTCTGTGTTCCTGACCTCCCTGTGGGGCTGCTCTTGGGAATTCACTGGGTTAGTACATGTGAAGTATTTGGAACAAAACCAGGCTCACAGAAACCTCTAGAAAGGAAGAAAAGTTATTGTTACGTCAATTTTCTCCCCTCATAATTCTCTCTTTCCTAGCCTTTCTCTGTTAAGTCTCTCCTTCCTCTCATCTTCCAACCTTAAAAGAGTGATGGGTTGCCTGGGGGGAAAGATGAAAGGAAGGCCCCACCACTTTGTAGAATCAGGGAAATCTAAATGCACAGAGATGCACAAAAGGTTAGAAGTGGATACACTCAGACACGGAGAAGAGGACCTGGCGGGGCCTTGAAAGGAAATAGGAGTTTGAAAATCACCCCTCCAGGCTCTCCTCTGGCTCCTACATCACCCCCAGTCACACAGTTCCATGTGCCAAGGCTTCCCCTCTGGTACTGCTCCTGCCTGGACCATGGGCCTGGTTAGGGCCATCACCTCTGGCCCAGCAGATAGCCTTGTCTGCTCATGGTGACTCTCCCTGTGGCCTGCCCTCCTGGCAATCACGCCTTCCTGCCGAAGCCACTGGCTCTTTCCCATTATGCTGTTCACCTGCTCTTTAAAAAAATGTTGTTATTGATGGGGTGGGGGGAGAGAAGATAAAAATTATACCTCGACCCAGGATCAATCCCCCCCCCACACACCTGGGTATGTGCCCTGACCAAGAATCAAACCAGCAACCTTTCTGTGCTGGGGTGACACAGCCAACCGAGTCCACAGACCAGGGCTCACCTGCTCTTATTAAAGCAGCTCTACAGCCCTCAGAGAGGTTTTCAAGGCCCCTGGGATCGGGGCCCACCTTCCCTGGTGGCTTCATCTCTTCACCGCAGGCTCTGCTGAAATGCCACCCTCTCCCCTCAGCCTCTTCTTCAGCCTGAAATGCCCTTCCCACACCTTCCTCTCTAGAACCTGATTCATCCCGCGGCTGTAATTCCACTTCCTCCAGGAAAGCCTTTCTGATACAACTCTAAGCAATTAATCTGTCTCACCTCTGTCTCCCTGTCTTAGCTCGGGCTGCCATAACAAAATTTTACATCCTGGGTGGTTTAAACACAATTATTAATTTTCTTGCCGTTTTGGAGGCTGGAAGACCAAGATTAGGCTGCCAGCAAGACTGTGTTCCGGTAAAGGCTTTCTTCTGCAGATGGCCACATTCTCACCTTGTGGTCATATGACTGCTTTGTTGGTGTTGGGGGGGTTGCGGGGGAGACAAGCTCTTTGGTGTCTATTTAAAAAATATATATTTTATTGAGATAAAGAAAGGATAGAGAGTTAGAAACATCAATGAAAGAGAAACATCGATCAACTGCCTCCTGTACACCCCCCACTGATGATGAGCCCCCAACCAAGGTACATGCCCTTGACTGGAATCGAACCTAGGACCCTTCAGTCCACAGGCCAACGCTCTATCCACCGAGCCAAACCAGCGAGAGCTGGTGTCCATTTTTATAAGGAAACTAATTCCATCATACCAGGGCCCCACCTTCATGATCTTATCTCACTCCCAAAGGCCCCTCTTTAAATGCCATCACATTGGGAATTAGGGCTTTGGGGGTGGGGACACAAACATTCAGGCCAGAGTACTTCTTAACACAGTCATGTATCTTTTTATATCACATTGATAATATTCCCGACCTAATTACCCCCACATGGTGCACGTGGGGCTTTGTTCCCCTCTGTACCCCCATAGCACCTAACACAGCGCCTTGTGCATAGAAGATGCTATTAATGGTTGTTACATTTAATTGTATCAAGATCCATCTCCACAATGCTTTTTAAAGCATCTCCTGTCACATTCATCCGACCCTTCCGTGGCCCTTTTGGCTTGTGTCAACATAACATAATTGCATTCTTATTTATTCTCTAATTGCTTCACACATGCTTGTCTCCCATCATTTGGAAAGCACCGGGTCTGGGCCGTAGAATCGAGCACAAGCTGTGCATGCCCAGGGCACATAGACATTCTGGTTTCCTCTTTTCTTACTCCCTCCACAGCCAACCCTCCCTCCCTTCCTCCACAGCCAACCCTCCCTCCCTTCCTCCACAGCCAAACCTCACTCTCTCTGGAAGAGACCAAGACAGAAGAAACGGTCAGCATAGCTTTTTTCTCCATCCCAGGGGGCCTGGGTTTGGGAATAAATACAGCATCCTGGTCTTCCTTCTTTTTCTTCTCTGAGTCTTTTCTTGTCGCTTTCAGTCACCCAAAGACCC